GGTAACGTCTTCTTTGATTGACATGAGTGATTCAACCCTTTCCCAAACTAGATTCTTATGCCTTATTTAGAGAAATTAGTCATGTTTCATAACAAGCTGGCAGTGTGATAGAGCACAAATGTCAGAGAAGTGAAATGTGCAAGGTTGGTGGCAACACCTCCCTTGCCCAAATGTTAACTTCCCCATTTTGGTGATAAATATTTTTTGGCAATACAAGGAGTGAGCTGGCATCTGCCCTCATCTTGTCAACAATAATCCACAAAAGAAAGTGCAGGGAAGAAAAAGAGCATTAGCAGGTGTAATTGTATCAGTTGAACTATACCAATTATCTTTTGGGTAAAGTGTAGTTTCCAAGAAACAGGACATCTACAATTCTTGGTCAGGTCTCCCACTGCCACAGAGAAATAATACATTTTTATAATGTAGCATGTGCCCTGCTGTGCCTCTTCTATAGCACTCAGGACAGCAAACAGAACCAAAGTAAATACAATACAAACAGTAGAACAAAAGTAATAAAAAGTAACAAAACAGTTAAAATCTATTTAAGAACAGCTGAAGTATTTGATCTTACAATGCCAGTATATTACTGAGATAGAGAGATGCTTGGATGGATATTTTAAATGCTTTAAATACTTCTAGGTCACTACAAAGCTAAGTGTTATTCTATGGGCTAGTTTAAATCAGAGGTCCTCAACCTTTTGGGCACCAAGGACTGGTTCCATGGAGAGAGGTTTTTCCATGGATTGGAGGGGGCGTGGTTTCATGTACTACCTGCATACCGCGGATGGGGCTTTGCTTGTTTGCACAGACCAGTTTCTGGCATGCTGCAGCCCGGTGCTGGTCCACGGACCGGGGATTGGGGTCCCCTGGTTTAGATAACAGAATAACTGAGTTGGATGGGACCTTCTAGTCCAACCCTCTGCTCAAGCAGGAAACCCTATTCCATTTCACACACATGGTTATCCAATCTCTTTTTAAAAACCTCTAGTGTTGTAGCACAAACAACTTCTGGAGGAAAGCCCTTCTACTGATTAATTGTTCTCACAGCCAGGAAATTTCTCCTTAGTTCTATGTTGGTTCTCTCCTTGATTATTTTCCATCCATTGCTTCTTGGGTGTTTGAACAATGTGTCTTCAATATAATACACAGTGCTTTGGTTTACAATCATTTCAGGATTTTTCACTTCAGGGACTATTTTTTCCCCATAGATTTGCAATAACAGAAAAAACTAAAGAATGTTATAACAGGAATGGTAAAATGTTTGGGCTGGTGGATTGATTACTTGGTTACATGATGTCAAGTTGTTGTTGACCTCAGCGATCACATAGATTTTCTCCAGGACAATCTGTCCCTTATCTGATCTTTCAGGTCTATCTAAGGTGCACCCATTAGCAAGATTATGGCTTTTCTTGCAGACTCTCAAACAAAACACTCGGATTCTTGTTTTATTTTCTAAGTTTTATTTTCTAAGAATGTGAGGCCAGCATGAACTGCAAGAAACCAGATTGGTGCCAAAATGATGGCATGTGCCCAGAAATGTTGACAAGCAAATGCCTTCATTACATACTTGCCTCCTTATGTTTGATGATACAGAAGTTGTGACATTCCCATTATGATGTCATCACATATATGTTCTCTTTTGCTCTCCTTGCTTCCACTGCAGATGCCAAATGTTAGAATTCATACACATTTATATGTCCAGGATATGAGGGGTCTGTAGATATTTTCTCAGCCCTCTTTCTGGCTTGCGCAGTATACAGGTCCTCAATAGAAGGCAGGCTGGTTGCAATTGTTTTTTCTGCAGTCCTAACTATCCATTGAAGTCTGTACTTGTCCTGTTTGGTTGCTGTGCCAAACCAGATAGTTATTGAGGCACAAATGACAGACTCAATAATTCCTCCGTAGAACTGTATCAGCAACTCCTTCTGAGGAGAAAGCTCCTCAGAAACCTGAGCTTTCTGATTTGACACAGGAAGAACATTCTTTGTTGTGCCTTTTTAATGATGGTTCTAATGGTAAGTGTCCATTTCAAGACCTGGAAGATTATAGAACCCAGAAACCTGAAGTGGATAATGGCAAACCACTTCTGAAATCTTGCTAAGAAAACTGCAGAGACTGCTCCAGCAATCATTGGGTGTCAAGACTGACTCAAAGGCACATAGACACACAAAAAGATAGGTACTTTTCTGTGAGAGAGAAAAAATCTTTAAAAAAGTGCTAATTTTGAGGTGGGAATTATTTTTTTTTCAGATTATTGTTCCTTTCTTAATTGTTGCTAGTTCCAGCATTCTAGAAAATGCACCCATGATATTAACACATTTGGAACTGCCAATTAACATTTCAATTTAATTGGAAGAAGAGGGCTGAACTTTCCATGACTTGATCAGTATATATTTCCAATCTTTGACTACAACCCCAAATCTCTTCCAACTGTATTGACTGCAGTTTTTAATGTGATGGATGGGAGATATGATTAATGGCAAAGAGACTGATATTATTTATTTGTTGATCACATTTGTGACAAAACCACCCCACAGTTGTTTATTAATTACAGAAATTAATTATATATATTGAATTAATATAATCTGAATTTGAAATGGAAATTTATGTTTTGTCCCAGCCTTTTCCACTTATTGAAAAGCAACCTCTGACATACTAATGATCCATGTAACCTTTAGCACAAAAAATGTTTTGCACCCTGGTGGATAAAAGCAACATATTATGCTTAGTTCACATATTGTATTAGTGCTAGAGGGATGAGGGGAAGAGATGCTGCCTAGTGAATGGTCAGATACAAGAGGGGAGAAGCCCACCATGGTTAAAAGTGACAGTGGGAGATTTGTATTTTCAGACTTGAAATATTTTGTTAAAATAGTCTGACAATTAAGTAGAATTAGTCCATCTACTCATGTTTCTTCTTTGTTTTACTTGGGAGGGCTGAAACATATACACTTCCTCTCCCTCAGAGTAAATACATTTATAATCTCACCACTGCTCTGTTGCTTTCATCTCTTTGGCAGCATGTCAGTCCTTTAGAAAAAATGCACTCTGAAACCTAATTCAAGTATCTGTATAAAATATCTGCTACTGAATGCAATCTGTGGAACAAAACATTTTTTAAAAATATTTTATTTAAAAATGCTTTCATTCACATTCACAAGTTTTCTAATCAATTCTTGTCTTTCTCCATATTTAGAAAAAAAATAATGGTGACAGGACAAAGCCACAGCAGAACATGGAGCCACCTGCAGGGAACGCGCTAAATATACAGATTACCTGTTTTTGTTTTACTTCCATTTGCTAAAAAATAAATAATTCCATAGGCAGGAATGCAAAATGAAACAAGTCAACACAAGGAACACAAGTCCACATGTCCTACAGTAAGGATTGTCATTCAGTTGAAAAACATTTTTTGGGGACAATTATTGTTTTTCAGACTGTCTTTCTTCTCTCCCCCCTCCCATTAAAAAAATATAAAAACCCATAAATTCAATTTCACTGTACAAAGAAAAATACATTTTCACAGAACAAAATTAGAAATTCCAAAATTGTCCTTTATGTAACAATTTGCTATGGGATTGTCTGTTAGTTACAATACTTTCTTTGACATCATTGACCAGTTCAATGAACAAAAATCAAGAGCTTAAGAGAATACCTGTCAGATATTACATACAGTAATTTCTTTACTTTTAGCAGCCCATTAGCTACATATGACCCAGTAACTAACATGCAATTATTTTGCAGCCTTCTGAAACATGTCAAACCTCATTGTGAAACTTTGGGCTTTCTGTCACCAGATATCCAGAATAAATACCTTAGAATGAATCTGTAAACCCTATAGGCAATTCAGTCTTCAACTGTGCCTTGAGGACCAGGAAATTCACCTACTGTACCCCTTGTTAATTCAGGCAAGTTGGAATTTGGTAATACAGTATTTTGAATAGTTAGTTGTAGCTATCACCCTGCTAGTTTGTTATTCGGTGGCTAAGGTAGACAAAAAGAAAGGTAGGCTGTATTGCCACTTCTAGAACTGCTACGGCTTTCTAGTAGTATATGAAGAACAATGCCTGAAGGAGGATGTTGTGGGGGTCTTTTATAGAACAATGAAATATAGGGAAACAAAATGGCTCTGTTCACAACATCAACTTTAAAATAAGATTTTTCAAATCATGGTTTATTACCAAATGGCTCATAGAGCCCATGTTGCAATGCTAAGACACGGTGGGTATGCTCAAGTAGTGAAAAACAAACAAGCTGTGTTATAATTGTGTTACATAATCATATAGCATTATGACAAAATCAATGCTCTGTCTTTTGAAAAGAGCAATTTTGTAGAGTAAGGAATAAAATACAGGATTGAGCAACACCAAGTTATCCCCTTGACATCCTGGCTCATGATAACAGGAGTTGTAGTTAAAACATCTGAAGCACATCAGATGAAAAGTCAGCTCTAACTGGACTAAGTTGGAGAATGAGGTATGAAATTCTCATGGTTTTGCAGCCTTAGTAACTAGAAATTATCTCCTGAATTTACTTCATCTTGCTGATAACAGCATAAAGCAGAGGCTTTCAAGTAAGGGTCCAATTTTAACCTTGAACTCTGTAGTACGCTAACAAATAATGGAGGCTGATTGATGCAAAGGGGGAGAAGAGGCATTTGTTTCTCCAGCTTTCTAATTCACTTGCATATGGCAGATTATGACATTTTTTTAGGAATCCACAAAAGAAAGAAAAAAGGCAAGCATTCAAGTTTTTGCCAACACCAAGTAATATCAAGGTTTGCTCTTTTGTAAATTGTGCTTTTTGTTACAGCTTTTTTTTCCTGACACAGCTGTTTATTGCTTACACTTCAACACAAGTCTATAATTAAAAGAGAGAGAAGGAGGCAGGAACTAAGAAGCAACCAGACAGGTCTGAGTAACTTTTTTAAAAATGTGGTTCTTTCTATTCCAACAAGGTCTGGATGTACAGTAGTGAATGCACAAATGTTTCAGAAATTATTTAAAACACTCATAAATATGCACACATTATCCTCTGAAGAGATTTATTCTATCAAAACAGTAACCTACCCGGGAACTACAGACGTTCTTAGCTAGAATGAAGGGCATTTACTTCTGGGAACAATATCTCCAAGTTCTAAGTAGAGTCCTTGGATTATCTGAGCTAAAACCTGGAATTTGCCAAATTTAGCACATGATAACTCCAAATTGCATAGCTGGCCCGAGCTTCAATGTGCCAAACTCATCTCCACTCCATCTCAACATAAAAGCGTATTTTCCCTTCTGATGTAGACAGTCATTCTAGTGTCTGGAACGGAATGAAATAAATAAGGGCTTCTGTATTACGTATAGATGAAATATCTTGTTATCATCACCTCGCCTCATGGAACTGTACTGTCTCTTGTTCCCAAGAGGGCCCAGCATGATGAATTTGCAGCAATAGAGTTCAACGTTAGTGGATGGACAGGTGAGTGCAGGGGCACTGAATTCAAAACCGAGGTAGGAAAGGCAAAACTTTTGCTCAAAGCCAGCTCTTCTGTGAAGAAAGACACAGCTTCCCTTTTGCAAGATGCAACAGGAGGGCTAGGAGCTGAAGACAAAATTTCTGACTCGTACTGCAACAGCTGCCCCATGAAACTGAAGTTTGGTGAGATCAGACTTCTCCGTTGCTTGATGTAATCAAATGCTTCCTCCAGGCGGAATTTTCTTGTTTTCATCAGATAAGCCATGCAGATTGTGGGAGAGCGAGAAATCCCTGCTTCGCAGTGCACCAGGATCTTGCCCCCTGCCCGTCTGGTGCAATCTGAAAGGAAGAAATAAAATGAACTAAATATGGAAGCTATTGCACGACTGAATGCCTCTATTGGTAGCATGCCATGGCTCCTGCCTTATCAAGCAATATTTCTCTGAGCTTTGGATAGCCCTGACCCTATTGGCTTTCTAGAAGGCCTTTGAAGACCTGGCTTTTCTTCCAGGTGTTGGGGTCCAGATTGTAGCGAAGCCAAACATACAGTAGTGGCCAAAATTGTGGAAACCTTTTGGAAAAAATGCACAATAGAAATGCTACCTTTGGTTAAGTTTCCACCAATTTTTCTTCTAATTTCTTTATAACTGTAGCTTTGTTCACTTAATATTATTTTACGTCAACTCTTTGCACCATTACTTTAATTTTATTACGTTTTACAATGAAAGAACACAAAAAAACCCAACCAACTTGATAGCGATCGCATAACACACTGACAAATGTCCTCCTCTCAGCTTCAATACATGACATCAATAACTGAATCCTACTGTGATCTGATTGGCTCATTGCCAAAACAAGATGACACCTGATTGGCTCTCTAAACACTCGTGCTCATTGGCTACAATCAGATGAAGGAAAGCTACCTGATATCAACCTAAGCAAGTTGTGCTTCCTTTTTCTGGTTATTGGGCTATAACTTTTTGTAGAATACAGCACAGATAATTGAACAAACTTTGTTGTATTACATTTTTGATTAAATTATCTTTCCATTGATATATAATTTTATGGTACTACTCCCAAAAAAGTGGTGTTATTAGCCATCAAACTTCAAAAATACACTTTTCCCAAAAGGTTTCCACAATTTTGGCCACTACTGTACATGTTGCTTTTTCCTCCTAATCCTGAATGAAATGTCATCTGCACATGAGTCACAATTTTAGTTCTGTGAAACTTTGCAAGACTTATTGCAAATAATGATTGTTTTGGATTTGCTAAAATCAGGATTTAATATTTAACTAAGATAGGCAGGGCAAACCTGAACCAAGTATAAACTTATTTGTTTCCACATTCCCTGATCCTTCTTATACGCAGCTGGTAGAATTTTTAATTTCTATTATTTTTAAAAGAAGCCAAGAACTGGTCAAAATGAACTCTATTCAATTGCTAAATAAACCAACAGCAAATTTTGAATTAGTTTCATAATTTCTTTCATTATGGATTTGAACCATCATTTTCTTTCAACAGACATGCTAAAGTAGCTCATTGGCTATAATCAGATGAAGGAAAGCTACCTGATATCAACCTAAGCAAGTTGTGGTTCCTTTTTCTGGTTATTTGGCTATAACTTTTCATAGAATACAGCACAGATAATTGAACAAACTTTGTTGCATTACATTCTTGATTAAATTATCTTTCCATTGATATATAATTTTATGGTACTACTCCCCCCAAAAAGTGGTGTTATTAGCCATCAAACCTCAAAAGTACACTTTTCCCAAAAGGTTTCCACAATTTTGGCCACTACTGTATATGTGATCCTGACTAGTTTTTAAAAATTGGTTCCTGCTTGTTTATTTATTTTATTTTTTTTGCTCACTGAGTTACCTTAGTTAAGGTGGGCAGCCATATAGAATTGTTTAATAAATAAATAAAACATAAATATGCCATGATGTGAAGGGTCTCCCATATTTCACTTTATCACTCATTTCAGATTGCTAAGAGAAGGACATTCGGAAGGTATTTTATAGATGCAACGAAGACCAGAAAAGTAATTTCTCCTTGTTCTTGCTGGCCACATTTACATAAAAATTACAACTCTTAATGACTGGGTGGTTGTTAAAAAGGCTTCACTCCTTCCCTTCACCCTTGCCAAATCTAGCATATTATGGGAGCAGATGTTTAATAAAATGGACTCTACAGTTCTATAAAAAAAAACCTAAAACAGTTTGATTCTTTTCATAAGAAACATAAGCTGGCAGTAAAAAGTTTTTATATACATACTCTCTCAAAGCAGATGGAAATGAGTATATTTCCCTGCTCACTAGGAATACAGAAAGCAGTGCCTTTATCCCCACCCTATGAGATCTTTTTGGTAGATGTTTAGTATGCATTTTGAACCCAAAATGCCAAGCCCTGGGCTCCTGGGGTTTCCACCACAAACTGCACAATAAACTACTCTAAAATCTCTAATTACAAGCCTTGATAAGTGGCACTTGGTCTTAAATCAGACTATAAATGGCTTAAACAGAGCTACCATTTTACGCAATGGGAGGCCCCAAGGTTACTCACACAATTCAATTATTGTTATAAGATTAAAAAGAAAATGCTGAAAATAAGCTCCTTGTGTAAAATGCAAGGATTAAAAATAGAACTGAACTGCTTTAGCTGGACTAGGAAATGAATTTCCAAGTTTCATCCTATTGTGAAACCTGTTAGATTTACAGGCCATACTGTACTCCACCCAGAGTCACATACTCCCTAATTGTTATTACAAAGCTTCCTGAAGCATCTACAGAAGTCATTTTATTTTAAAGCAAAGAACCTACACTCTATTTACTACACAGTATTGAATAGGCATTGATATGTAAAGTGCTTAGAAGTCTCAGTAATTACTTCTTGAAAAAATGTAGGTTCAAATCAATATTCATCTTTGAAACACACTGGTGTTTCATTTTGAGTCACTCCCCTCCATAAGGCTGCGTTTATAGGAAAATGGGGAGCACCTCAAACCCAAAGCGGAATATAAAGATAGTAAGTGAATAAAGCCTATTAGACAGAATATCCTCTCACACTGAAGGATAAGGATGAAGAAAAGACTATCATCTTTAAAGCGCTCCATGGCATCGGACCCGGATACCTTCGAGACCGCCTCCTGCCGCAGATTACCTCCCATCGACCTGTACGCTCCCATAGAGTGGGTCTCCTCAGGGTGCCGTCGGCCAGACAGTGCCGGCTGGCGACCCCAAGGGGGAGGGCCTTCTCTGTGGGAGCTCCCACCCTCTGGAATGAACTGNAGCTTGCAGGACTGGCCTAGGGTAATTTTTAGAGGGGTTTTAATTATATTTTAAATTTGACAATATTTAAATATCTCTTTTAATTAATTTTAAATTTGTATTGTTATTTATGTATTTTAATTGATTGTCAGCCGCCCTGAGTCCTACGAGGAGAAGGGCGGGATATAAATCCAAATAATAAATAAATAAATAAATAAAGAGATGTTGCTTAATGCTACCTAACAAGTTAATAGTAAGAGAAGGATTTGAATGGGTGGCTTTTTAGTTGGTTATGAATTAGATTTTTTTCCTCAAAAAGCCAGAAACGGTATATTTCAAGAATCAAATCCAAATAATTTATTCTCTTTAAATAATTATGTAAATAACTGAACTGAGCTCTATAAACAAATTAAGCAATCCTGCCTACTTAATGAACCCGTTGTAGCACTAAGCTATTCCTATTTAGGGGCTGACAAATTTTCCCAAATAGCATAGGACTTAACCATGATTTTACATTAGAACTTCCTTTGCAATACTTTCATTAATAGAAAATTGTCATCTAAATGTTAACTGTAGGTTAACATGCCAATTTCCTATCCCTAATGAACTATATCTGCTTTTTCTCCTGACCTTCGACAAGATATCTATATGGTTAGTTACCTAAGCTTTGGACAAATCTATCAGATGTCTAGCTATTTGACCCTACTATTTATGGTTTTTATCTCTGTACTATATATGTATATAATATCTAAGCCAGCTAAAAGCACTTGGAAAATATTAACCCTCCTGTAGAAATGGGTCTGACAAGCACCTATTCAAAGAGTTTCAGAGAATACACAAAAGTTCAAAATATCTCAGTAGACAGATATTTATTATATCCCCTGTGTGTGCCAACTCATTTCTTTTCAGTCTCATACCGTCCTACTCAACACTTAAAGAGAACTTCTTTCACACTTCCGACCCAGCAGTAAATTAGAATGCTTAGCCCTACATTGTGAAAACATGAGGCAGGGAATGGGAAGAATGAGGGGCTCACATACACAGGAAATGTAGGGACAGCTTATAGACTAGATGTCTATATACTTTATTTTCCAAAATTCCCAAAGTGCCTTTGGTAAATCTACTGTACCATTAGACTGTTTTCGCTAGTATGAATTGAATTAGATGTTTCTGTGAAAATATTTATTTAATATATTTACATTTTGTCTTTCTTCATCTATTGCATGGTACATATCAAAATGAATACTAACAACAAATAATTAAAAATACGCTAGCCAAAGAAACCATCACAAAATACCCAAGCCAAAACTAAAAGTGGCAGGTGAGGTAAGCAAAGTACAAATATAGCTTTCCATGGAAATAGATACAGCGTGATGGTTGTAACCATAAAAACTACCATAGCAATTAATAGAGAGGCTGTTGTGACCATGGAACCTGTAAAAACAAAAAATCATAATCCTCTGAAATACTCCTGGAAAGGGGAAGAAGGTTCTGAAGAGTTATTATTCTTATTTGCAAGAGAAAGGGAGAGAAAAGCCACCTACCAATAAATTCTATAGCCTCCTGGAAGTGTGAGCTGATGTCTGCTGTGTGACTGTCCTCCACTGGAATCCACTTATAGCAGAATTGATTAGTAAAGGCTTCAGAACTCTTTCTGGAGACATTCAAGAGTGCAGTAATGTTTAAGTTGGCAAGGAACTCGCACTTGGAAGCATGATAGGCACTGCCAAGGTATAGGAAAGGCAGGATTTCCACTGGGCCACCCTGGAAAGTAAAAGAGGAATAAGTCATTATAGATTTTCTGAATGGCTTTTCTTCAATAAAATCAAGACAATAGGCAGCTGTGGTAAATTTTTAAAAAGCATTTTGGACACCTTCCAGATGTTCCTGTGATGAACAACTATGGTCGAAAGAATTTGTAAAAGGTGGAAATTCTTTCTAAAGCTATTGTTACTGCTTTGGCACTTGCTACGTTTTTCACCTTCTAAATGTCTTTATCATTATTCTACAAGAGTCAGTTCAATATGGTGGTAACAGATAGGTAGGAATAGCTGTTCTTGAAGACATAGATCAGGTATCTAGTACTTTTTAATCCAGTTTTTAAACCAGGGACTACACTAAGCTCTAAATGATATGTGATGGCCACTGTCACAAAGTGGGTGATTAGACCAAAGAAGTAAGATAGGACCAAGGTAAAACCTATATATAACTTGCAATGCAATCAAATCAATCAAATCGGAGTGACTACAGTTGGGTGACCTTTGATCATAATAAATTGAAATTCAAACTAAGTTTATATTATAACTAACTAAGTTATTATATTATTACTCATATATATAATAATTTTCTTCTCCAATCATGTTAAAAACTACTCATATGTAGCACTTTTTAAAGGGGATTTGGAGGCTGTTGCTAATAGTGGTGCTCTGATATAGACACATAACTTATTAGAATTACTGAGCCAGCAACTAAGCTTAATAGCTAACAAAGATCCATCCATCCATCCATGTTTTTAATTTGAATGGGGGAAAAGCATATACAATAGCCTGAACCTAAAGAACATGAACATGGGGAAGGGCACAGAGGAATGTTCATGGCTTTACTACATCAGATGTTCCACTTTCTCTGTGGATGGATGATGCACCAGAATACCACTAGGACATAAGAATATGTCAAACTGCTTCTGAAAAACATTTATTGCTGAATGTTGGTGACCAGAAAGCCAGAGCTTTGGTTGTTAGGGATCGACCTATAATATAGTCACCTTTAAGTAATATTTTATGGATCTGACCAAGGTCAGGAAGAAAACAAAAGTCCACCAAATGTGATCAAGCCAAAGTAATGGTCAGAATGCCAGGTCAAGACTGAGGAAGCAGGATCCATTTTTTTAATGAAAACTTATTTTATGCTATTTGCCATTGCTACGTATTTATCATTAATAAGTAGTTCTCCACAGAATATTCAACTTTAACATTTCATGATATTTTCCTCTTCAAATAGTGAAATTTCCCCAGAGAAATTGAGATTATCAATATGCTGTCATGAGTAATAATTTTTCTTCCTATTTTTGAAATTAAGCAATCCAACTAGATAAAAAGTTGATTTCACGTTTTTTAAAATAAAGGAGCAGCCCTGTTTAGTTCCATCCTCTTTCTTTCTTTCTTTTTTTTTAAAAAAAGATTTGCTTCATAGACAATTATTCAAAATGAATAAACTATTTTGCAACTGTAGTAAAATTTCAGTACCCCTTTGTTCTTTTTCACTGTCTGACTAGGCACATTTCATTTTATATATTTATCACAGTGCCTGGTTAAAGCTGTAATGAAACTTAAAACTGGTATTATCAATATTCCAATACTATCTCAGATGAAGGTGGCATCTCAGTGAAATATTTAGAGTTATAAAATACTTTAATTCTTTAAACTGTATAACAAGAAGTTGGGGAGGGGAATGACCGGTGTTGTTGGACTAGGTCAGTGATGGCGAACCTTTTAGAGACTGAGTGCCCAAACTGCAACCCAAAACCCACTTATTTATCGCCGGGTGCCAGGTGGGCGTGGCCCACTGGGTGGGCGTGGCTCTGGTGGTCATGGCAGACTGGGTGAGTGTGGTCACCACGATGTTGCTCGTGGAGAGGGATGCCTGTAAGTGCCGGGCAGGGTTGGGGGAGATCCAGGGGGTCTCTGGCAGGTGGGGCGGTGGGCAGGAGGCTCATCCTGCGAGGTGAGGCGAGGCAAGACGAGGCAGGGCAGGGGTGCCATTGTCGCAGGGTAAGGCAAGGCAGAGGCTGGGGCGGGTGCTGCCTGATACCATTGCCCCCCCGCACACAGAGGCCAGCGAGCACATGGGTGCTGGGATGCATCCGGCCACATGGGACCTTGGCGACTTAGCAGGCAGCTGGTTGAAGAGGGACAGTTGCCATCTCCAGGGCATGGCGCTCGTGCCCACAGAGAGGGCTCTGAGTGCCGCCTCTGGCACGTGTGCCATAGGTTCGCCACCACTGGACTAGGTTCATGTGGATTTCTCCTCCTCTGTTCTTGAGACTGATTGCAGCAATCCCAGTCTCTTCCTGAATTGCTTGAATTGACTCCTTTTGTCATATTACCAAATCTGAATAAAGGAGTAAACTGTGTTACGAAGAGGAAAATGCCAGAAAGAGTCCCCAAGGAACGTGGGCATAAACAGATTAATCTTATCTTCCTCTAAACACACCTGATCATATGCTGGTTTCTGATGGATGCATTGCTTCTCATGCAAGCCGTTGATGTTTTTCTCAGTTTCAATCTTCTCTTGGGATACAGGCTTTACATCTATGCAGAACTCTGGATATTGTGAATAAAACGTTTCATAGCCTCCTAGAAAAATTATAAGTACAAAAGTATAAATTAAAAAAGCTAGGGGGTGGCATATAACTGTGCTGAATCAACATTTTTTTCTAAACCTGTTTTTTTTGTTTCCTATTGCATTAAGAGTTTCCATTACAAAGAAAAACAGAGAAAAGAAAGCAAAAGAACAGGAATCTTCATTTAGAGCTATGAAATTAAAGAGAAAAACTTCAAATAAAATGTGACATTTCAAAATGTTTCCTTCAGACATTTTTATGCTTTTATTAATTTGAGAAAATACAAATTGAAAGGCTGCTGTCCGTTGATTATACACTTCCATTCCTTTGCCTCTTGGCAAATTAAATGGATCCATTAAGAGTCATAAAAGTTAATGAAACCCTGTGATGGGCTTAGGCATCTAAATAGCCCCAGGTGAGTAGTTTTTCTGTACAAAAATAGATTTTCTAAATTTACTACACAATTAATGTAAATTAAATATATCTAAGATGCAACTTAGAGCATGGGTACTGATGTCTATCTAAAAAGCAACTTAAAGTATGGATAACTGATGTAAAGAGGATAAATGTATGTATCAAGTATGCCTCAAAGCAATCTTCCTCATTGTTATATTGGATAACATGTATAGAACCTCATCTGTAATGATTAGGGTGGCTCTTGGTTATGTTTTCATTTATAAGGAGGATTTCCACTGATACAATGAGAACAGGAGGACATGTCTCTTCAATCCTCTACACATTTAATCCTTAGGAACAAATTTTAAGAAAAAGAAAAGGGGGCCGGAGGAGAAGTCATACCATTTTGCTAGTAGAGGCCTGATGTCTGACAAACCCACTTTAAATTAGGGCACATTGCTTAAGGAAACATACTCAGAGTTACTACCTTATAACTTTACTCCCAAAAATCCTTTGAGTTGGTACATACTGAAATATTTTCAATAGGAATTTAAGAAAATACAGAAAAAAACAGGAAGTTAAGGAAAAGGAAAAAGTCAAGGATAAGTGGTGTGGGGACTTAGGGAATTTTATAAATAATATTCAGTTTAGGCAATATAAAAACATTGTGTTTTCATCTTTTAAAAGCTTTCTCTAATTAAAATATGACCATAAGAACCTAGTAAGGACAAAGAAAGAAGTTTATTATCATAGATCAGAATGTTGGAAAAGGATAACAAATTATTGTATATTTTCAGCTCTATGTCTTTCTGCCATCAAAAATGGATGCTATGATTCTCCAAATGATCAGTGTAAGCAGCCAACTCTTTTCCACACTTTTGCCCTAAATTGTTTCTCCTCAATTCATTTCCCTCAGTTTTAATCTTCTGAAAGTTCTTATACAGGTAATCCTCAATTTACGATCACAATTGAGCCCAGAATTTATGTTGCTAAATGAGAAATCTGTTAAGTGAGCTTTGCTCCATTTTCTTATCATATTTGTTAAGTGAATCATTGCAGTTATTAAGTTAGTAACATGGCTGTTAAGTGAATCTGGTTTCCCCATTGATTTTGCTTGTCAGAAGATTGCAAAAGGTGACCACATGACCCCAGGAAACTGCAACCGTCATAAATATGAACCAGTTATCAAGCATCTTAATGTAAATCACATGACCATGGGGATGCTACAATGATCACAAGTGTGAAAAATGGTCATAAATCACTTTTTTCTGTGCCGTCACTAAATGAACTGTTATAAGTCAAGGACTACCTGTCTTAGACCAGGGAAGTGAGGATTAGAGTTCATTCAAGTGTTACAATACTTTTTATATCTCTATTTTCTGGGATAAAAAAGAAAACCAAGCTATTTCATTTTTTCTTGGATAGATCAGAGAACTCAACAGGTCAGCTGTAACCCAGAAGCATCAGGGGATCAGGAGATTAGCCAACTATTCTTAATATGAATCACTTTTTCATCCAGTTCTCTAGCTCTTTCTCTGTATGCACTCCATTGCGCTCTGATGCTATGATTTCCATTAAATACTGCATTATTAATCTTGCAAAAGAGAGATTCTTCTTTTTCACTATGTGTGATCAAAATTCTAGGCACAGGAAAGTGGCAACAACCCACAATCTCTCTTATGGCAAATAGTTGCTTCCAACAGGGGAAGAAATCATAGTTTAATTTTAAGATGTATTGATCTTTCAATAAAAAACATTTTCACAATCAAATATGTATGATTTATCTATGTAAGGAAATAGTCTTGCCAATGAGGTATTTCAAGGAATAAATTTTAAACATTTTTGTGACTATTCACATAAATTCAGTGCTAGATCAACTAAAATTTTTAAATCAATGAAGAAACCGTTTCAAAAAAAGGTCATGTTATGAGTGGTGCATCAGAGACAGTGACATAACACATGCTGAAAGCTTTCAAAAATATTGGTGAGGGTGGCGATTGACAAGGATTATGTCACTCCGCAGTAAAAGTATTCTCTGAAGAGCAGGATTGCATTTGTGGTTGCCGTTAGCTGACAGGCTTTCTGACTCATATCTGACAGACTGCCTGAGTCTAGGCCCACTTAGAAAATTGATGCCACGCAACAATGAATCGTCTCCCACATCACTAACAGACAAAACCCTTGGGATAAGCCTCAAGGTTCTTCCATTAGTTCATTGTGAACATTCAGACTGAGGTAAAAACATAACAAGAGCAGCACTGGCTTGTGACTCAAACACAATTTACCAGTGTAGCCAGTTGTCAGAAGATAACACGCAGTCCATAGCAAGAATAAGCATTCTATTTCAGGATATTCAATATGGATGACATTGAGCCTAAAATCACCCAGAGAATTTTCTACCATGGTATCTCATGCTAAAATGTTCTTAATAGCTTAAAACAGGAAACACTGTTAGCACTGAGTAATATTTACATTCATTTCTTAAGACTGCCTTGCTGTATCAAATAGAATGCTAAGAATATAGGAGGTAAAGCTTCCAAGACTTACTTTTTGATTTGGAAATGGAAAGACTAAAAGATTGCCATTTAACTAAACTACAAAGCAGTTAGTAAGCCTATCAGAACCAAAGTGTAGCGTATTAAAATTTTGCTTTGTTAAAAATGTGATGAAATATTCCTGAACTACAGTATGAGTTTATTTTATCATGTTTCCATCCACCAAAGGAATCAAATTTCAAAATCTTTTATATATTCACATGACATGAGTCTTCTTAAAAAATAAAATAATTCTTTATGCCAACATAAAGAATTTAGCATCTATTTGAATTAGCATACTGTCTGGAGATTTTCCTGCAATAGTTTGATATCATTGGGGAAAAAAGATGTCAAGATATTTTCTGACTTAAACAATATAAAGCAGTATTCATTATGCCTCTGACAGGATCAACTAAGACATTTAAATTGTTCCTAATAAAAGTACTATGCTACTGCTATCTGAAAGCGACCATTTTTGTTACATACAAAAAATGCTTATGTTGGTTAACATAAATGATAAGGATCTGCCCTATAGGAGGCAGTGCTGACTTCTACAATCTGCATCCCTTTAACTTAAAAGCAGAAGCTTTCTGATATCTCTGATTGTTTCCCATCTTCTCTATTAATACTTTCATGAAACGACCATACTACTTATGTATGAGCCAAGTGTATGTTTAAATAAACTCAAGAATAAAAGACAGGATGGTGCTTTAGATCTGCAACGTGAGGACAGTGAAGTCATTAATCTGTTTCACGAGGGCAATTTTTGTAGCAAAACCAATACATTTCTTACGCCCTTGTGTATATTTTTAGGTTAGATCTGGGCTAAAAGACCAGATCTAGGCGAACTTTGATTCATTAGTCACCTAAAAATATGCACAAGAGCATGTTTTCTCTTGCTGGGCTAAAAGATCAGATCTAGGTGAGCTTTGATTCATTAGTCACCTAAAAATGTACACAAGAGCGCAGGAGATTATTGATTTTGCTTCTCGCCCCCCTCGCCCCCCCCTTCCTTTTTGCATGCATTTATGATGAACAGGATTTCCAATGGACTTCTTGTCCTCACTTGTTAGGGAAAAAAAGTTACAGAAATTTCAGGGGAAGAGGATCTGTTGAAAGGAAAACCCATCGATCAATCCCTTTCAATCGAGAGAGAGTTGCGAAAGCTCATCTCCCTTCTTGTTTAGCATACAGTACATTGCTTTAGAGCAGTGGTTCTCAACCTTTTTAATGCCGCGACCCCAACCGGTCGTAAGTCGAGGACTAAACTGGTCGTAAGTCGAGGACTAAACTGGTCGTAAGTCGAGGACTAAACCGGTCGAAGGCGAGGACTACCCAACCGGTCGTAAGTCGAGGACTTTCCCTGCCCGGGAGCGCCGCGCATGCGTGGTTCCGCCCCCTGCGCCGGCCGAAGCGTAGCTGGCAAGCAGCAGAGACGGAGCAGGCCGACCACCAGCTGGCCCAGCCCAAGGGAGGTAAGGCATCCACTGGAAAAGGGGGAAAAATGGCGGACAAAAAAAATGGCGGACAGCCTTGCTTGGCGACCCCCGTGAAATGGTCGATCGACCCCAAATGGGGTCCCGACCCACAGGTTGAGAACCACTGCTTTAGAGTCCAGGGGTAGTCAACCTTGGCTCTTTTATGACTCGTGGACTTCAACTCCCAGAATTCCTGAGCCAGCTAAGCTGGCTCAGGAATTCTGGGAGTTGAAGTCCACGAGTCATAAAAGAGCCAAGGTTGACTACCCCTGCTTTTAGACACTTGCCATTTACGTGACCGTGTCGGTTCTCACTTGCTCTGGCGAAACTGACCCAGTCTAGCATCTGGACAGGTATTGTTAAGAACAAGGCGGCCCCGGCTGCTCATTACTAAGCAGGGCCGCCGGGCTCTCGCACCCGCTCGCTCATCTGCGACATACGGGCGACATCCAGACGGAGCTTTTTGGGGGGGACCGGTTTAGCAAGACTCGCGTTTCCAGTTCCCTGCGGCGGCGCTCCCCAGGAGCTACCCGACCGGAGGCCGGTCTCTTCCCCACCGCCACCCTCACCCCCGCAGCGCTTCTTTCTCCTCGACGGCCTCACCTTTGAGGAAACAGACGCGGGTTCCAGCCTCCGGCAGGCTTGCAGACAGCGTGTTCAGCACGATCTGCGCCGTGCTCTCTTTCTTCAGCTTCCGCCAGTGCCTCGTGTTTTGATCCAGGACTACCACCGCCGTCAAGGTCCGAGGCGGCGCGGCGTCCCCTTCTTCTCTTCCTTCCGAGCCAGCAGCCGGCGGGAGCAGAAGCCGCCCCCGGGCCGTTTCGTCGGGCACCACGAAGTGTAAAGGCACGGGCCGCCCGTGGGAGCGGCGGATCACCACGGAGTTGAGGTTGACGTTGAGAGACCCTCGGAGGCAAGAGGCCGAATAGGAGAGATACGGCCTGCAGTCCAGGACAAGGCACAGGGCAGGGTCCTTCCGTAGCAGTTGCTTGAGTCGACGAGAGTCGAGAGCCGCTACCTTCATCTTGGCTCGCTCTCCCCGTCGCTCGCTCTCTTCCCTCCCCCTCTCAGAAGCAGCCTCGGAAAAGGGTCCCCCTAGGCGCTGAGCTTCCTAGGCTGCTGCTTATTTTAAACAACACCCGAGAGACTGCCAGCCTGCTTCCTTAAAGCCGCCCCTGGCCGCGACCGTGCTACGTGTGTGTCCTTCCTTCCTTCCCCCGGCCTTCGCATCTCCCTCCCGGAATTCGACCAGGGGATTCCGCTCCGAAGAAGAGGCAATTTATCTGAATGAACGCCGGAGCCGCGCGGCTCTGTCCATATAAGGCGACTAGCGTCATAGGAATGTTCTGTAGTAGACACGCCTCTCCTGTGAAGCGCCGCCCACCCGAGGCAGAGGAGATTCCCTCCCCCCTCCCCCAGGAAGAGGGAAGGCCAAGCCGAGGCGATGCTCAGGAAAGCGTTACTCAGGCTTCTCCGAGCAAAGGAAGTTGAAGAATGTTTCAAAAATTCTCCAGTCATCAGAAAGCCCTCTTTTACACTCACTCACTTACTTCCGCCGACTTACTAACGAAGGAAGGAACGTATGAGGGTGACGGAAGAAAGAGAAGTAGCATAAGGTGGAGGTGGAGGTGACACCAGGGGTTTTTTTTTTTTTTTTTTGCGGGCAAAGCAGAGGCTGGCTCACTGCTAAAGCTACAAGGGATCAGGTTCTTAAGTTTCTCCATGCAAGTTACTAATTTTAAATTGCCACAGCAATAAGAAAATCACTCTCTGTTGGATTTTTCTGTAGAATAACTAAAAAAAATACATGGGGTGGGGTGGGGAGAAAGATGCCTCTCTTGACTACATTTTTAAAGTTCCGCTTTATCAGGAAGCGAGAGACAGCATAGCCATATTGTCTATGCAGAATAAGATGCTATCTGGCAAATAATTGTGCTTATCCAAAGCTCTCTGTTCACATGAACAAGCAATAAATCCAACATAGTCTCAAAAGTTTTTTGCTTTGATGAGTAATGTACTTATAATCAATGTACTATAACTCGTCTTGTGGTGGCACAAAGTAATTCTATCATAAAGGAGGTTGTCTGCATTGCCAATTCCCATTCTACTCTCCCGTAAGTCTGATAGAACCTCGTTTTCTCATTTTGCAAGTGTACCAGTCATCGTCAGCAAGCTATTGGTTTTAGTCTCTGGTTTTGCTGCTGGGCCCTTTCAGCATAATGCCAGCTGGCAAGAAACATCCAACAATTGTCATCAAGGGTAGGCCAGGTATTATGACTAAGTTTCACAGTTTTGGTTTTCCCCTTAGCTTCTCTAGTTTTGCCCTCATCTACCCTCCTTTTGTAGATTCAGTGAATATGCATTTACAAAAAAATATAAATATCTTGTAAATAGTTTATCTGGTGAGAAAACTATGGTTCTCCAGAGTTTGATGGTTTCTAGAAGACCAGTTCTGAAGATACCGAGTGGCATTATGCAGAATATTCTCTGCACAAATTGTTTCCGACATAGAACTGTTAATTTTGGGTGGTCTGTGCTCCATGAGTGAAACAAAGCTGTATTTTGATGGCTGTTGATTGAAATCTGCTTGTTTTAGTCATTTGGGGGTATGGGAAAAAGCAGATCAGGGGGCTACCTTGGCAAGAGTTTGTGTGAATATTGGCAGTAGCAGTGCAGGCTGAGGGAAGAAGGAGATAAGGGGGCTGGGATGATGGAGGGGGCACAGCAGGCCACTAGGATATGCTATCCAGGGAGCCTGTCCCTTAATGATGTAAAGAACAATACACAGAACACTACATCTATGGCAATAACTGGTTTCTGGTAACATATTGCAAAAATAAAGAAGTGAAGTAATCACAAGCATTTTCTTTTGTAGTGTGACTCATTTATGCTAGGAGTTTCAGTTTAGTTTGTAATATGTTTCATTTCCAACAATTGTTTGAACTGAGAAGTGAAAATAGAAGGGACTTGTTAAAAAGGTGGGGTATAGCTTAGGTAGAATTTCCCTCTCCCCATCAAGTAATGTCTTCCTTATTTTGCTACTGTAGTATTTTTTCTTCTGCTTTTGATACCCATAGACAAAAAAAAGAGACTGAGTGACGGTCTCAGTTTCTGATAATATTTATATGAAATTCTAATTGAGTTGGTCTTCTGGGAATACTTTAAACAAAAATCTCTGTACCAGAATGAAGAAGAGATTCAAGGGGTTGAAATAATTGTAACATATCTAAATCATGACTTCAAGCTTTAATAAAATTAGGTTGGTTTTTTTTTAACATCCTTGCCGTCCAGCTGTGGAACACAACTGAATTAGTCAAAAGGACTTTCTTCAAAATTGGCTAAAATTGATGGATGTATAATGTCATAAGACAAGCCTAGCAGATAACCATAAGAAATTGCTTTTTAGTGAAACAAAGCCATACTATAACCAGTCTATCTTGTGCAGCTTTGTGGCAAGATTTTTTTCTTATTCTATCTGGAAACATTGTGCATTGATCTTGGGACCTTCTAATGAAAAAGCATCTGCTCCACCACAATTCTTCCCTAAGGATTTACAGGTAAAATTTTATAACTTTCAGGAAAGATTTGTCAGAATCCATGTGTGGTGAAGATTTTGCAATATCATAACTGAAAGCATCCGGTCTTATCACAGAACCCAATAAATCAAAATCCTGTAATTACACAAAGCCACCAAGAGATGCATTATCTGAGCTGTTCCAGATACTGGATTATACTGTGGTTCAAATGAGTTCTCTTGTAGATCTTGCCATATTACTGTTTAAACAAAACTAGAATTCTTAGCCCTGTACAGTACTGGAACCTTTCAAAAGAATGAAAAGGTACACATTATTCTCTACACTCAACAAACATTAACGTCAATGTCATTGTCAATAGAGTAATATATATCTAAGTAACAGAATTGGCAATAACTATGGCTGAAGTAAAGCAAACAACCAACTGAACAGTAACACAGAAGTAGAACACATCGATGATTTGCTATACTTTTTTTGCCTCAGGAGGAATTGTTATATATTTATTTCCTATATGTTTCTTTCCTCACAAGCGTTGTATCAACATGTCAAGAAAGGTTTGAAATTCCATAGAATTGGAGCAGATGATTGTGTGGAAAGCATGTATATAATATGCTAGCCATAAGCTATTGGCCCATGGAACTGGGGTGGGGCAGAACAATATCGAAGAGTGATATATAAATAAGCAGGAAATTCTAATTGATTTGGTCTTCTGGGAATACAAGAAGGAAGACAAGATTTGTCTTGAAATAGTTGTAACATATCTAAATCAGGAAAACTTTGGTCATAGGGTGGTTGGGCCTACAAAAGATAAGGAAGCTGTAGAAACAGTTTTGAAATGAATTTAACGTGGGGTGGGGAAAAAAAACTAAAGCAGCAGAGAGGTTTAGTATTACAAAGATAGGAGGATTCTGCACCAAATGCCATAGTAGTCATAATTCATGTGATACATTCCAATGAATTCACAACTTTAGCTAGATAATGTATTGCCAAAAATCTCAGAATATTATATGCCTCATTTGATGGATTATCAAGGGCATACTTAACTTTTCAGTAAAATAGGTCATTTAGCTCAATCATGCTACCTACCTTTAAAAAGAACAAATACAGATTTGAGAATTAAGATTTGTACACATTTTAACATAAATGGAGTTGTTAATTTTATTCAGTGATAATATGTAATAAATGGGCAAGTGCCTTTTATGGATGTGTGGAATAACATTATTAATTCCACCACAATGATACAATTGGAATCTGCTAGAAGGGATTCTTGCTATACTTTTATTTCTTCCCCAGTTTAATATCACTGATAGAAAAGAATATCTGTAGCTCAGAGATGCTTTTTCATGAGGCAATTGGACTTTCTTGTTTTTCTTTGAAGACGTTTTGCTTCTTGGATGAGAAGCAAAACGTCTTCAAAGAAAAACAAGAAAGTCCAGTTGCCACCAAAATGTATTCTTTTCATTTTGAAAGAGATCATACAACACAGAATAAAACAGTTTCATGTTCTGGGGTGCATAATATATGCTGTGAAATGTAATATGGTCTGGAGATGTGCAAATATTTACTGTGACAAATTATGATTTCTCTGTCCCACCTCTGTTCCTTCTAATTTGTAAGTCACAGATGTACTGATTTCCTTTCCAATAGCTCAGAGGGTTTTCATAGAAACCAACCAAGGAAGGCATGCTATTTCTGTGTATGTTTTTGACCCACTATATCAGACATGTCAAACACAAGGCCTGGGGGCCGGATGCGGCCCGTGAAGTGGTTTCACATGGCCCGCGAAGCCATCCTGGAAACAGTGAGGGAACAGCCCCTGCTGCCTTGGCCCTGGCCCAGGCCAGCCGGGAGCTAATATACAATTTTGTGGTGGCCATCTATGCTGAAAGTATTCAGTCTTATCTCCACAAGGCTGTCTGGAACCAGCGAGGAACCAGCCCCTGCTAAGTTGGCCCCGCCCCCTGGGTGCATGCTGGGGAGGTGTCACCCTTTGTGAGGAATAAAGAAATGCACCATCGCCTGGAAGTGGCCAGCAAATGGCCCTCGCCTACTTCACATATCTGGCTTGATGGGCTCCGGGGCAGGGGTTTCGGCAGGCAGCGGGACGCTCTCCTCACAGCGCCGAGAGGCTGAGCCGGGTGGTGCAAATCCAAAAAGAAGTGTGACGCCGCCCAGCCCCCAGCCTGCCCAGTTTCAGCCTGCAGTGGGGTGCTCTCCTCACAGCGCCAAGAGCTAAGCTGGGTGGTGCAAATCTGATGAAAAGTGCAATGCCTAGCCCCCAGCCTGCCCAGTTTCAGGAGGCAGCAAGGTGCAAAGCTGGCGAGCTTCGCGCCTCCCGGCTCAACCTCTCGGCACTGTGAGGAGAGCACCCCGCTGCCTGCTGAGACCAGGCAGGCTGGGGGCTGGGCGGCGATGCTTCTTTTCAGATTCACGCTGCCTGGCTCAGGCTCTCGGCGCTGTGAGGAGAGTGCCCTGCTGCCTGCCGAGACCAGGCAGGCT